TTTTTTTTTTTGGGGGGGGGGGGGGGTTAGGTGATTCCGGCTTTTAGATGTAGCACCTTGCCTGCTGCGGGCATGTGGCTCCTGCTCACCTTGACTGTGTTGCCCTTGCTTTTGTTGTACTAGTTCTGCTTCAGTTGGAGGCAGCAGTCGTCATTGCTGTTGTCGTCGGCCCCCCGGTGGCGGTCGTCGTCGTCGTCGTAGCAGTAGTAGTAGTAGTAGTAGTAGTAGTAGTAGTAGCAACAGCAGCAGTAGGAGGACATTTTGTGGCAGTAGAAGAAGTAGCAGTAGCCAGCAGCAGAAGCTCCTGGGCTCCCCCCAAGACAGTATCATTCTACACCACCATCATTCCCCTAAGGGTCCATGTACCCAAATAGATATACTTTGGCCTTAAAGTAGTCCCTATATAAGTACTTTGGGGCCAATGTATATACTATTTGGGTACATGGACCCTCAGATTTCTACACCTCAAGAGCACCCTATCTGGGTAGTTCTCTCTAAGTTACGGTTCTCGACACCCTGAACCCTAAACCCTGAACCCTTAAACCCTATATACCCTCAACTCTACAGTGCCCTCATGGCTCCTTCAAAAGAACGCATCAAGAAGACCTCAAACACTTCAAATCCCAATGACAATCAGAATGAGCCGAAGAGAGGTGTTGCGGCCCCCAGTTATGCCGACGGCAAGACCCGAGGGACCGCCCGCACCCTGGTTTGGGCTTTCGGGCCTCTGGGGGTTTTAGGGTCCCTTTGCCTGTAATATAACAAATATGGGGATTCTACAAGGGCCTTGGTGTTCTGTGGGGTTTAGGGTTTATCAGGCTTCAGGTTTGAAGTCTACCCTAAACCCTAGACCCCTAAACCCCTACCCCAAGGGCCCTGAAACCTTTGGGACCCTCAAACTACGTAGGTCTTCCGAGACTCCATAGAGAGCTTCAGGAGCTCTCCTTAAGAGGTTCCCGACCCTCCCACGCAGATACTGAAGCCTTTGGGGTTTGGGGGTTTCGCTGACAAATCACTTTGGAAAAGTTCGGGGTTTAGGCCTTCCTATCGGTTGCAAGGCTTGGTGCTTGGCCGGTTCCTAAACCCTAAACCCGAAACCCTAGAGGCTGTAGGGCAACTTTTGCCCGGCATGGTTCGAGTTCAGGCTCATGTTTGCGGCTAAAGTGATTCGCTTGGAGTTTAGGCCGGCTCATGTTTAGATCCTGCCTGAAATCTCGATTGGGAAAATGTACAGTTTGGGCTTCGACACTAGATTTAATGCAGTAGGCAAGTCCCCTAAACCCTAAACCCTAAACCCGAAACCGGGGATTGAGGACTGCCGCGATAGGAGAGTCGAGGAGCCCCACCTCAGGGTCCAAGTACAGGGTTAGGCTTTAGGGACTTTGGGGTTTAGGCTTTAAGGGTTTAGGGTTCAGGGGTTCAGGGTTTAATCTCTTCGTCCTCGAATCACAAGCTTTCTCTAGCCTAAATCCCGCTTGTTCATCATGGGTTACGATTGACTCTTCCTAAACCCTGAACCCTAAACCCCAAAACATTGATATCGCCTCACATGGGTGCGGGACGGAGTCCAATGTTGAAGATTTTATGCCTTCTATCACGGTCATTAGGGTTCCGGTTAAGGCCTTCGAGTTCATACATTGGGGTAAGGGTTTCTGAGCCCAACCGGCGACACTGTGAGGTGAAGTCCTTCAACCCGATGAAGGCGCCGGTGCAACTGCAGTGTCTGATAGCTGCCCTGACGTTATATGGCCCTAAACCCTGAACCCTAAACTCTAAACCCTGAGCCCTGAACCCTAAACCGTAAACCCTAAGCCCTGAACCCTAGACCCTAAACCCTCCTTGAGCCGTAGCTTAGGGGATCCAAAGCTAAGGGCTTGGCCTTGATGGTTCAGGGCTTTGCATCGGAGTGGAGCTTGGGGCTTCGGGAGGCTTTCGTTGACACTCCTCTGTAGGTGTGCATGTGCCTTTGTGCGTACGCATGTATGTGTGTGTGTGTGTGTGGGTGGTGTGTGTGTGTGTGCATGTGTTTGTGTCTGTGTTTGTTGGTGTGTGTGTGTGTGGGTGTGTGTGGGTGTACATGTGTGTGTGTGTGTTTGTGTGTCTGTGTGTTTGTGTTTCTCTTTTTTCTTGTATGTGTGTGTCTCTGCGTGTGTTTGTTGGTGCGTGTGCGTGTGTGTCTATATGTGTCTGCTCGTGGGTATGTATGCATGCAGACACGTTGCTATGCATGCATGGATGAATGGATGTGTGCACATATGCGTGTGTCGGCGGTTCCGCACTGCCTACTCCTAGCAGGAAGTCCCTAAACCCGAAACCCTTAACCCTAAACCCTAAACCGTAGCCCCATGTCCCAACCTCTGATCCGGCTTTCAGGGATTTGGCTTCATTGCTGCTCCGTCGCTTCCGACGGATGTGCAGATCTCAGCCCGAGAGTAGAAAGGTCTATAGAGGGCTGTCAAGAAAGGAAGAGGCTTCCGTGCTTGAAATGGGCTTGCTGCTTGGAGCTTTCAAAGTATGTGGCTTGAGAGGGTCATCCAGATTTCGACAGGAATATTCCATTGCGAAGCCCACATCTCACTCAGTTGTAGAAGTTGCAGGAAATTATCTTGAAGACCGCAGAGACTCGTACCCACATCTCACCATGTGATTCCGTGATGGAGGGGTTGTCGGTGTGAGGGAACCACTGGTTCGATTTGGACATTTTGGTAGTTCGGCTTTTGGGTTCAGGATGTACAGCACTGATGGCTTGGGGGTGAGGGAGATGATCAAGCTTGGTAGAGAGGTAAAGCCGTCACAGCATCCATCGGGTGCCAAGAATAATTATTCGAAGGGATGACAGCTTAGGGGTTTAGGGTTGCTTGACGTTTGCTGTTTCGGTTTGGGGGCTAAGCAGCTGCTGCCACATGAGGTTCGGGAAAATGCGTGTATGTTTTCGGGTCCCTGAACGCTGAACCCTAAAACCTAAACTCTAAACCAGAAACCCCTGAAGCGAATCTCCACTCCCGAAGGGTCCAAAGTAAAAGGATTTTAGAATGTAGGGGTTTCTATACTGGGAAACATGATCAGTTATCATGATTTGGGAAAGTATCCCCCGTAACAGTACCCTATAAAACCCTTTGGAACTTTAATCCCCCTGGCATCGCTTGAAGTGAAGCAGCCGTTTTGAAAGCAGTGTGCACGCTTCGGCCGTGCAGTACAGTGCCACCTTCTATCCTCAAATAGTGGTGTAGGGCCCCAAGTCAGGTATCGAGGGTCTCGGGTTAGGGAAGGGTATATGGTCCTCAACGGTAGGTGTGTTAGGGTCTAGGGTTTCGGGCTTTGGGTTAGGGTATGGGTATACGGTCCCCAGTAAGATAGCGTAGATGCAGGGTCCTGGTCAAGTCACTCAAATTCTGTACCTTGACGATCCCGTCAAGGTTTAGGGCTTAGGGTTTTAGGGTTTGCCCGAGCCCCTCAAGGCGAAATCGGTACACTCTTCGCGAAAGTAGGTTAACTGTTGAAACCAACGCGATGTTGGTTATCTCAAGACGTGAATGGCCGGTGAAACCAATCCCTCTTGTGGGGGTTCTGGTCTTAAGAAACTATTTGTCCAGGTCGTAGGCCCTTTTATGGGAACATCAGTTTGCTTAACAGTTAAATGTTTAGGCAAGAATCAGGGAAATTACAGGTATTCCTAAATAAGAGGTATATATGTTCGGGTCTCTGTATGAGAAAAATAGTTCTCTCAAACAGTAGGTGCTAAGGTGCTTGCTTGGGCACCTTTAGCTTTAGACCCGAAGCGATCGAATGAGGTCTACTTCAACGCCAAGTCCCTGGACGATGCATACCGCTCTTTGCAGCTTGATGGACAGCAGGCCAGTGCCAAACTGAACGGCCCGGGTTTAAGGGTGTAGCGTTCAGGAGAGTCTAGGGGAGGGCTCAGGTTTCCTTTTGTCAGTAGCTCTTTGTGTATGTGTTTGGTCTTTTTGTTTCTTACAGATCGAAACGTGCACCGAACATAAATCAAGCAATCAGTCACGGCCCCTCAGCCCTAAGTAACACTGACAGCTCCGACGAAAGGTGGCCTTCAATGTGCGCTACACGCAGGACGGCAAAATCCAGGCTACTGACGTCCAGGCAGGTCCCTAAACCCTAAACCCTAAACCTTAAACCCTAAACCCTAAACCTTAAACCCTAAATCCTAAACCTTAAACCTAAACCCTAATCCTTAAGCCCTAAACCCTAAACCCCAAACCTTAAACCCGATCCAGGGAGCTTTGAAGCTTCGGGGTCGGGGGCTGGTTGACAACACAGCCCCAGCCCGTTTAGTTAATATAGTTCATACGGTTAATATAGTTAGTATAGTTAAATTAGAAGAATACGCCAAACTACCAGAATGGCTTCGTATAGTATGGGTGGAAATGTATGGATTATCTGTCTCTTCGTATTCACCTTCGAGGCATATTCCGTAGTCCAAGGGTACGTGCGGGGCCAACGGATAGGAGACTGAATCAGCTTCTGAAGAAATACCATAGCTCTAATTATTAAGGCCGCTGTATTTCGTTTCTCTGTCGTTGCGCTGTAGGTGCACGCAGTAGCAATGCAAGCTGCCTTTCACAACCCCGCTTAGCGTTGATTTACTCACAAGCCCGGAGGCCCAAAACAGATTTAACGAAGCGTGAGTCGCCCTCAAAAGCAGCAAAACTCAAAGGAAGGCGTTAATACCCTGAATTCCAGATTCTAGACCCTATATGCTGTTACACCCATAAACCCCAAAGCCTCAAACACCAAACCAAACCCCTAAAACCAGAACACTCCAGTCTCCATGCGAGCCAACTCAAGTTCTCGAGTCTTAAGATTTGTCAACATACGGAAATGAAGGATTTTTCGGTACCATGACAGCAGTTGCAATTTGGGTGGAAGGGGTTTTTGGTGCAATGTAAAGTTTAAGTTGTTTGTATCCTGCGTGCACCACCCTCAGCCTCAACCCAGAACCTCAGCCACAGCACGAAGATCCACGAAACACGAAACCCACAACCTTCAAGACCTTCCAAGAATTAGTCTCCTTGGTAGTTTCATCTGGTTCATACGTAGTCCTAAAAGGGGACACCAAAAAAGGAACTACAATGAAGATTCTAGGCAAAGTGCCCGTATATCCCTTGAAGGAACCCGAGCCTCGGTCCCCCTGGGTTTCGGGGTTTAGGGTTTAGGGTTTAGGGTTTAGGGTTTAGGGGTTTAGGGTTTAGGGGTTTAGGGTTTAGATCGG